TAATCCTTTTCATGATACTAGGTCTCTAGAGGCCACACAGAGGAGCTATTGTAGTGCCCGTGCACTACACTGGGTGTGAGGCTGCGGCAGGAGAGAGCTGTTCTGTTGAGGATTTCTTTCAGAAAAAAATCAAAAACTCGAATGCTTTTTGAATTGTTAATATATATTATAGTGAGAATAGAGAGAATTACGAGTTTATATCCTTAGTAGCAGTGTGTGTGCTTAGCCAGGTAGCTTAGGCTTCATACTTAGTAACAGCAAAGGGTCGTTGTGCACTACATTTCGGGGCTGTTCAGGAGTATAAAATTAAAATAAAATGAAAAAAATTATTGAGCTTGATTCAAGGGGGAAGATCCCTTTTTTTTTCTCTCACAACATCCGAAGTGACCCGTCTACAGTATAACGCTTGTTATCTGGTCTTTACCTGACAAGAGACGAGCCGCAATGAAGGCAAAGACTTAAAGCAAGAGTTTCCCAAATGCAGCTGACCCCCTTCCCCTGTACCTAGGCATCCTGGGCGTTGAGCCCAGGGCCAGGGTGTCGCGGGTTGTAGCGCACCACGCTGCGGCTGGCAGAGCAAGTCAGCCCCACGCGTGCACGAAAGGAAGCTTCAGCGAAGCTTCCTTTGCTGCATGCTTTGCCTCGTAACGAACTTGTATAACGTTTGCAGGCGCTTACACGCAGCNGAAGCTTCCTTTGCTGCATGCTTTGCCTCGTAACGAACTTGTATAACGTTTGCAGGCGCTTACACGCAGCATGCCAAAGCCGTCGAAAGGCTCCTGAGCTAACTCTGCGCTAACTCATGCTACAGCACCTAAGTGAAACACGGGGATGGACATGCAACTACGCAACGGAAAAGTGGTACAACCTCCACTAGAACCGAACGCAGGAATGCCGAATATAGTTGTATCTAGTAAGGAAGCCGCGGGGCATCCTATTGAATCGAAGCCAACCGAACCCGGTCACAATATCAGCCAACCCACCGTAGGGGTAGGAGGACCGATACCGAGAAACCGGGACCGCGACGCTGGAGGACGCAAGGAACCTGAAATGAATCAAGCCGGGATGAAACAGTGAATGGCCGAGTTCTTTCGGCAATTTGCCGCTCAGATGGCACTGGGGTTAGGACATGCGCCCCAGAGGGCCATAGGGTACGAGGATGGCAAGAACATGAGGAATTTCCTCGACCTTGTGGAGATACATTTCGTTGAACGGGGTCTGGAAGCTCGGCAGTGGGGAGAAGAACTAAAACGATATCTGACGGGCGACGCCTTGGGTTACTGGTTGTACTTGCGTCGTACGGGAGTACCACTGACAGATTGGGCACATCTGAGACAGCAATTCTGTGCCCGATTCTGTAACATAACAAAGGAAAGGATGAAAGTGATGATAGCAGAGAANCCAAGGGGTATCGGTAGCACCAGACCTGTTGGTGGGTTACTATTTGGCCAACCTACCGGTTGAAATATACCGAGAGGTAACTCGAGGTGGAACGAGGAAATTCGCGGACTGGCAGGAAGTAGCCGCAGCACTGGCTACTACTGCGGCAGCATGGAGGGATTCATGAGAAGAGCGCCTCCGATTCCAGAGGGACTTAGAGAATGCCAAGTGTAGATGGGCTCACGGTGGACGAGAGCCGGGTCTACAGAGAGAAAGGGTGAGCAAGGGAAACAGGGGGAATCATACTACGGAATCACGCTGTTACGAGTGCAGAGGAAAGGGGCACGTGAGCAGGGACTGTCCGCTCCGCAAAGGAGTGACACGACGGAATGGGGAAACGTGTTCCAGATGTGGGGGACGGGATCACTACGCTAGAGACTGTCCTACGCCGGCTCGACCTAGATTAGAGCCCGTCAGGCAGCGCAGACAGCAGCAAATGCGACCTCACGTTGACGGATCGGGGCATTTAAACGATCGAGCCTGGTCGTTAAGGGAGACGAACGTACTAGGCGGCCTATAAGGGGTAAAAGTGCAATCCGCGCAGTACCGACAGGGCCTAACAGCATTCCAGTCTCCCCAGATTGGAGCAAGAAATTGCTTGGTAGAGAGGTGCAGGTGAATGCCGAGGGTCAGGAGATGGGCAAGAACCAGCAACCCTTGGCAGTACAGTCTCACGCCGGGACAACGTTGCTAATTGAGGAAGGGCATACGCGTAAACGGGACCACAGCAGCGAACTAGACGGCGACGCGGCAGAAGGGGATTGTCCGCGGGACACGAACAGAGCTACAGTGATGGCGCGAGCACAGGGCGCAGGAAGGCACCACTCCCCAGGGGACTCTGTGTAGTGTGGGTATGACAGCCATATTAAGGGTAGAAGTGGCCGACAGCCAATGCGAAGCTCTTTTAGATACCAGCGCCTCAAGGAGTTTCTTTAGTCCAGGGGCCGTAGAACGTCTACAGCTGAAAGTGTGGAAGTTGCCTGAGGAATGTGTGTTCACCGTAGCTAATGGTGCGCAGTTGAGGATACATCGCGTCGTGAAGGGACTCACGATGTGGTGTGGGGCTACCCGCTTAGCCGGTGATTTCTTAGTCGGGCCTGTACCATATGACCTAGTGGTGGGGCTTGATTGGCTGACTTAACACAGGGTGGCGTGGTATTTCCAGTCTGATAAGCTACGTAGGTATGTGAATGGCCAGTGGTGCGATCTACCTGTTGTTCGTGCCAACGGTGTCAAACAACGGAATGGCAGCACTCAAGGGATGCATCAGCGGACACCAGCGGAGCAGGCATACGATATACTGGCTAAGCAGGTGGCAGACATGACTAGGGAGGAGGCTACGGCACTTCTACGCCCGCCTTCCAAGAGGTACAAGTCCCCTACAAAGGGCAAACGGAAGGCAGTGGTCGCTGCTCTGATACAGCAGGCTACTGAGAGCACATCTTGCATACGCCACCCTCTTCAAGGACTCTACGCTATACTAACTCTTCCCGCGATGGAGTGGAACGTGGCTCTACGACTAGTGGAGGAGTGGCAAGGGGCCCTGTGTTGTGCCCTGGCCGAAACCGCCCCTCCAAATATCCAAAAACAGTGTCTTAAAGCTCCACCAGCTACCGAGCTCCCCGATGACGAGGAGACATCCTCTTGGGCAACGGCTAAACTAGAGTACTCTCAACTCGATACGTGGCTAAAGTCTGAGGAGGCAAAGGCAACTCCACGTGCGATACTCGATGTGTTGTGTGCCCATCGTGCAGTCTTTCCGGATAAACTTCGTACAGGTCTGCCAGCGAAGCGCCCACACGATCACCGTATCCTCCTCCTGCCAGGGAAGCTGCCTACGAACTCTGCAATCTACCGCATGACCCCCGAACAACTCCAATATCACAAGCAGGAGATCGCTAAGCTAACAGCTAATGGGTGGATAGGTCCTACGTACTCTCCTATATGCGCTCCTACGATCATGGTGGACAAGCGTGATGATGGGACTGGTGAGCGTAAGATGCGTATGGTGGTCAACTATCAAGAATTGAACGCTCTTACGATCGCCTCTGACTTTCCCCTGCCTCCTGTTCAAACTATTCTGGAGATGTTAGGGGGCGCTCGATATTTCTCTACCCTCGATCTAGAATCTGGGTTCCATCAGATACGGATGGCTAGGGAAGACAGGTGGAACACAGCCTTCCGTTCTGTCATGAAGCTATTTGAGTATAAAGTCATGCCCTTTGGCCTCAAGGGTGCGCCCGCTACCTTTCAAGCTAATATTAGTGCCTACCTGCAACCTCTATTAGGGCAAGGTGTTGTCGCGTATCTGGATGATGTTCTTATTTATAGCCCTGATCTCCCTAGTCACGTTGCCCTCCTTCAGCAAGTGCTCCGTATCTTCCTCGACCAGCAATTCTATCCGAAGTTTCGCAAGTGCAAGTTTTCCAAACAGGAGCTCACATACTTGGGTTATACAATCAGTGCAGAGGGTATTAAACCCGCTGAAGACAAGATTAAAGCCATACAGTCATGGCCCAAGGTACTGGCTAACGATATGCAAGTACGGCAGTTCCTTGGCACAGCCAACTGCTTCCGCATGTTCATGGGTCCTGACTATGCGAAGGTAGCGCGACAACTCGTGGATCTCACCCACAAAGGGGCTCCCTTTCAATGGACAGACCTTCATACCCAGGCGGTGCAGCGGCTCAAACGCCGTTTGATTGATTATACGACGTTACAGGTTCCTGACGCTACGAAGCCTTTTGAGTTGTACACTGACGCCTCAGGGTATGCAATAGGTGCGGTCCTGGAGCAACCTGGCCAACCGATTGGGTTCCTCAGCCAGGTCATGTCCCCTACTCAACAGAGATACTCGACCTATGATCAGGAACTCCTGGCTTTAGTCACCGCTCTCGACAAGTGGGCCCACTTGTTGCGCGTCTCTAAGGTTACGGCACACGCCGATCATCAAGCACTTACTCACTTACAACAGCTCCGGGCATCGAAGCCTTTACGTGGTCGTACTGCTAGGTGGCTAGATTTTCTCGCTGAGTTCCCTCATCTCACCATTACCTACCTACCAGGTGCGCGTAATCAGGTGGCCGATGCCTTGTCCCGACTTGCTTGCCACTCCACGCCCACCCCTGACACCACCCCCATAGGCCCCTCTTTGTCTCCACCTGGGTCCTTAGCAGCTCTTACGGTGCCTACCGACACGGCCGCTCCCCCACACAAGACCCGAGGAAGACTGGCTAACTACCGGGAACTCGCTGGACTCCGCACTCGCACCCCTAGGAAACCCTCTAATCCACCGCCGGCTACGGCCACGAGTCCTACACCGAGCCAGCCCCACGCACGTCCTGCCCCGGAGACTCCAGCTGCGGCACACCCTCCCCCTACCCTGGACTGGGTGGCAGCGTACCCCAAGTGCCCTGTGTTCAGCGCTCCCTATCAGCTCGCCTCCTCCCAGCCTGGCGCAGTGATCCAACAGGAGTTTCAGCATCGTCGCTACAGCTTCCGTTATGTTCCGCCGTACTTACACATTTGCATTAATGACCTCTGGCTTATATGCGTTCCTCAGTTTCCCGAATTACTCACCCACGTGGTGTAGACCCATCATGATCACGTCACAGCCGGACAAGGAGGCCAGAAAAAGGCTTGCTTGTTCCTCAGCAAACACTATTACTGGCTGGGCATGCGTGCCTACTCCAACGCTTATGTGGAGTCCTGAACCCAGTGCCGAGCGTCTAAGTCGCTTAACCAGAAACCCGCCGGCCTCTTACAGCAGCTGCTTATTCCTTCACGCAGGTGGAGTCACGTCAGTTTGGATTTCGTCACCGACTTGCCTCTTACTACTACTGGAGATGACACTATTCTTGTGCTGGTTGACTCCCTCAGCAAGATGGCTCACTTCATCCCTGCTAAGAAGTCCTACTCAGCAGCGGAAACAGTGGAGTTGCTAGCCGACCGCCTTATCCGCTACCATGGTTTCCCCGACACGCTTGTCTCCGACAGGGACCCTCGCTTTCAATCTGAAGTGTGGGAGCAACTGTGCTCCCGCTTTAACATTACCAGGGCGATGTCGTCGCCCTATCATCCACAGACTGATGGACAAACGGAAAGGGTTAATCGCACGCTTGAACAGATGCTCCGCACATATATCCAAGCGGACGAACGTGAATGGGAAGGCATACTGCCTGCATTGGAGTTGGCATACAATACGACCAGCCATTCATCTACCGAGTTGTCGCCCTTCGAGGTTATGATAGGGGAGAACCCCCTCACTGCTGCCGACCTGGACATTGTTGGCGCTCTGGCCCCTACACTTACTCCTCCGATGACCAAGATATTCCGCCAGCTCTGCGACCGTGCGCAGAGTCACATCCGCAAAGCGAAGTGGCGCCAGAAGTACTACGTCGCCGCGATGTTGAATATAAGGTCGGCGGCCAGGTCTGGCTTAGCAGCAAACACCTGCCGGCCCTCACTGACTGCTCCAAATTTGAACCTAAATACCGTGGTCCCTTCACGGT